ACAAATTTATTCTTATAACAATAAAATATATGATTATTTCGGCCTGCTTCAGCAACACGATGGGCCTTCTTTATGACCGCGGAGTCACTATAGTCTATACATGGGCAAATTCCTGAACACCCGTAACTGGTTTAGTAAAATTTTAGACCCCCTAGGTTCTGTAAACTAACACCATCACCCCCAACATTAATTTCCTATATTTATAAGGGTGTGTTTGGTTGGAGATAAGTAATATGAGATTCCGATAATCTTTCAAAATTAATAGTAATCGTTATTGGTAATATATGAGGTAATTTGATTACCTTTATTTTTTTAGGTATTTTAAGATTAATTGGTAATCTTAATTTGGTTATAATTTTTATCCTTTATTAATAAAATTTTTGGACAAAAATATTCTTATTTTGAAATTAATTTACAAATATATTCATGGACTATTTTATCTTTATATACAAATTTTTTAGGACATAAATACCACTAAACTTTAAAAAAATTATCCAAGGGTGGTGGTCAAATATGGCCACCGTTGCCTTAGGCTGGCGACGGAATGGTGCACGACCGACTAGATCTGGTTGATTGTGTGTTAATAAAGTCGTTTTCGACCATGAATCTGTGATCTATGGCTAGAAATGGTAAGATATATGGCCGTTTTAGGGCTAAAGATGTGACTGTGAAAATGCCAAATATTTTGTCGTAAAACAGTCAAATCTGGTCAAAAAAACTTTATCGGTGCATAGTCGATTAGATTTGGTCGGTCATGTGTTATTTTGACGACTGTTAACAGTGGTGGCATGGAGTAGGTATGGATGATTTTGTTATAAATTAAAGTTTAATATGATTAGGGTGTTTTAGAAAAAAAGATAATAAAAATAATTCTCATTTATGTTTACAAGGAATAGGATAGAGTTTGTGTCCTATGATAACGTTTTCAAGTGGATAATATCTGATGGTAAGTCAAGAAAAGTCGGACGACAATTGGCACACACCTGTCATATTCCCATTCAAAATTTAATAAAGGATTGGTAGTTAAGTTAGTCTATAAATGACTCCTTTGAAACTTGTGTAAATGGTCGACCCTTTGACGTTTTGATTGTAGTGTTTCTTAAAACACTTAAGAGACTCCTCCTCCAAAAAACGCTATTTCATCTTCTTATATCCAGTTTAGCCCAATCAATCTCTCAATCTTCCTTTTTCATCCCAACTGAGAGCCAACCATTATCAGCTTTACTACTAATTGAATCCATTTCTTAAACTAAATAACCCAAAGTCAGAGCAAAACTATCTTTTATATTATACTCAGAAACAAACCCAAAAAAAAAAATAAAAAAATAAAAAACAGTTGCACTTCCGACTTTTCTTACGCTATTCAATATTTTAGATTTTAAATATAAAATATCAAAACCAACCCCCAAAGACTCAACGCTCAAGATTCTTGATTGTCAAAGTAACAGCGCAAGAAATAGAAGTTTAGGTAAACATGATTAAAAAAATGGAATATAAGTTGAAAAGAAGGGGAAAAAAACTTATTTCTTAAACTAAAATTTTCCTTTCACTATTTTGTTATGAGAATATCACTGTTTTAGTCGGTTGACATGATATTGTGATAAGCTTATCTAATAAATGCATTATATATATTTATCAAATTTTCTCTTTCATTTACCTATAAAGACCATAATGCACTAATAACTATCCATTATTAATTGTTCATTAATAAGCACTACCATAAGAAATAATTTTGAAAATTAATCGTTGTTTTATTAGACAATCTTAGTAGCCAAGTGAGGTGGTAAGACTGTACAATGTATGATTTTCTCAAGATCCAAACATGTTTGAAATTTGGAATGTGATTGTTTTTGTAAATATTGTAATGTTTGGTTAGCTGTTTATGTCATCGCTAGCTCAGGCTTCCCTGCTAGAAAATGCTTTCATTAATCTGAAGATAATCCCATCCATAGACCCTTAATTTTCTATTCGACTATATGAATCCCACCATATCTTTGAACATTTCAAAACACAGCGGATTTATTAAATAAAAATTTTACCAACATGTCTGCCAATGCTTAATTTTGACAACAACTATTCGCACGTGAGAAATGCTAAGCGGGCTTAGAAGTCACATATGGTTATGGAAGTATTTAGTTGAATAAATGATGAAGAACAATGTTTAAAGTGGTTCGGATACTTAAAAGGCGAATCCTACGTCCACTGATATTGTATTAATGAGTGAAGTCAGGTCGCGTTCAGCGAGCTAAGTTACAACTTAGAGAATACGAGAGAGAGAGAGAGTATGCTATTCCAGAGTGAAATTAGTCAATCCCATAAATAGGAGAGAAAACCTCTATTTATAGTGGGATGAATCAAGGTAATGATTACTAAATCTGCGAGTGAGGTGGATACCATGCAAATCTTTCTCTACGTCCCATTACTCACTTACTTGAGTGATTTTCTTGACTTGTACAGAGATTGGACACGTAGACCATTTTTAGCCATTTGCTAACCTAGCGTATACCCACTACATTGACAAGAGCATACCACTCACACCATCACGCAATATAACCGTATCTGAGTGATTATAGAACCTTCTTAAATTCTTACAAGCTAACAAGACTCTATCATGAGCCCTACTTTTTCATGTGTAAAAATGACTTCTCGTTTAATATGACATCGATGCAAGAATATATTTGACATTAACAAATATCTAGAGAGATTTAATTCTGTTTTTTAAGCTTATTGTCACATCATGGCAACCTGCACTCCTGTTCTAAGCGATAAAGATTATAAAACTAATCCCCACCAAACTATGTGGTTAGACGCGTGCCTCCCACCTACGCAACAAATTTGATTAAACAATAAGAGTTTTTTATTTTTAGAGTTTCAAGGCCCCCACTAATAATGCAGCCATCAGAATTTATTTCATGGCTATGGCCAGTAATAACTAATAATTTGGTTACATAAGCATGAGTGAGTTTGACAGCCCATTAATATTGCGGATATTAAGAGGGTTTATACAAATTTACGTAGCACATAAAATTACGTGACTGAGTATCATATAACATAAAAATCTACATAACATTAATATGATATTAAATTACGTGAATCTCAATATTCTATAACATATTTTATAATATATCATATAAATTTATATAAATTCTCTTAGTAAAAAAAAAAACTTGTAAAGATAGCGTTACCATAATATTGCCGCCATCAGAATAATGGTGCAGTACTGACTTGATCAACCATTATCGCTACCATGTGAAAGAAATCGTGGAGAAAAATTTAAATATTATCGCGGAATCATGGAGAGATATTTCAATATTATTGAATGAATATTCATGGAGATAAATTTCTGGCAACGACGTGTGTCAGCTATAGTCAAATTTGAAGTCGGTAGGGATACCCGCGAGGCAGCAGGCAATCGCATAAGCGAATTGACTAAAACAATCAGGAACTGCCACAAATTGCGTGTTGAAGAGGTCTGCTTATTCTTTGAAACAGTCATTTATTGGAAAATATGATTTACATTAGTTGCAGGCCGTAGTAGGTAATGAATTGAAAAGTAATATTCTTATTACGGGATTAAATTATAAATTCTATTGTTAATACAGGAATAATGACATAGGGTTTGCGTCAAAATAGTCAAATAATATTATGATAAGATTTATCCCGACCCTCATTGTTCATAAGATCCGAGCACTCCTGTCAGAGTATTCAACTAATATATAGCAAGTTATTTAGTTAGCATTGCTCAAGTCTGTCCTAGATTTCGAGAAAGACATCAAGACATATCTGGTTGATACAGAAATCTACACCAATCAAAGAATTTTGATTGACCCTGTTAGAACCGGAATAGATATGTGCGTGATTACGAATAACCAGCAGTGGATAAATAATAAACGCAATAAAGTAAATGGCAAAGAGATTTTTAAAGTGGTTCAGCAAGTTAGAACTTAAGCCTACGTCTTCTGAGAGCTTACAAAGAACAGTATAATTTCCAGAAAAATTTGCTTAGAATAATTTCCCAACCCCCTTGAAAACAAGTTATGATAGGTTTATATAGCACCCATTTACATGATAGAGTTGAGATAAGATTCAAATACGTAAGATTAAGAAGTTGTATGATCTTCGACTACCTTAGTTTGAATCTAAGTAAATCTGAATATCTTCCTTCCAAATTGAGTCAATCTAAATATCTTCTCTCTTAATAGGGAATTATCCTCTCCGGATTAACAGCACAACATATTCATCACCAAAAAGTATCGGATTTCATCTATTCTAATGCCACAAATGTTGTTGTCAAATGATCGTCTAATGTCAATCAGACAACATTTATTTTGATACCAAAAAATTGTATCATCCTAATTGGGCAATAGCATAATCAATAACAAAAATAAATAAATAAAACTAATCACATTAGAATATTCGATTTTAGGTTTAATTTGACAACATCCACAAACCTGTTAGGTATTGGTATTAAACAATTTTTAGCTGTTGTTTTCAAGTGTGTTCATAAGGGGCAGCTAGACGTATTGAATGTTTGTTGAGTTTGTTTTTTAATTATATGTTGATGTTCAGACAAAATAAGTTTCAAAGAAAGATGGTTTAGGCTCTATGTGTTTTCCTAGAAAAAATTATTTAAAAAAGAGAATAAAGTAAATTCACGCCTCCACGTAATCCACCCACCGTTTACTTGTAGGATTATTTTATTTACTGGTGAAAGCTGATTCATTCTCTTTTATTTAAATAATAATGGTAGGCTCAAATGATTTGACTTTATATAATCTTGTACTATAATCCTTTGCATATTTGATTAATCATACCGGGAACTGAGCTTTCATGCCATCTTTGTTGAATGATTTAATCCAACCCTATTAATTATTAGAAAATATTAGATGATGACATCAGGTTTGAATAAATTTTTGTGTGCTAGTCAATCCGATCCATCGAGGAACGTTTCTTTGGTTTGGTGGGAATTGAAATACTCGCAGATCATTCATCACCTCCATCGAAATTCAAACCTTTCAAAGCCTTATATATTGCACCCAGTTACATTTTTTGTTCACTCAACCCATTGCTTAGAGCAGAAATGACACTATCCGCCATATTCCAAGACTCCTTCCTCCTCAAACAGGGCCTTGTCGCCGTTCTCCTTCTTATCATAACACGCTATGTCATCCGTTTTCTCTTCAGGAAATCAAGACCCCCGCTCCCTCCAGGACCACATGGGTTCCCTATCGTCGGCGCCCTGCCCCTCATAGGCAGCATGCCGCATGTCAGCTTCGCCAAAATGGCCAAAAAATACGGGCCAATCATGTATCTGAAATTCGGAAGTCAAGACATGGTGGTGGCCTCAACCCCGGAAGCCGCTAAAGCCTTCCTCAAAACCCACGATCTCAATTTCTCAAGCCGTCCCATCGATGCAGGCGTCCACCATTTGGCCTATGATGGACAAGACATGGTTAATGCTGAATATGGACCAAGGTGGACATTGTTGCGGAAAGTTTGTAATACTCATATGTTTGGTAGCAAGGCCATCGAGAATTGGGCTCATGTTCGCGTCTCTGAGGTTGGCCTCATGCTTCAGGATATGCTGGAGGCGAGCCGGAAAGGCGAGCCGGTGTTGATGCCTACAATGTTATCATATCTCACGGCGAACGTGATCGGCCAGGTGGTGCTCAGCCGTCGTGTTTTTGCTACAAACAGTTCGGAATCGAACGATTTTAAGGTTCTGGTGGTGGAGATGATGAAGTATGCAGCGGTTTTATTAGTGAAGGATATTATCCCGGCCTTGGGTTTCTTGGACAGAGGAACCGAGCGGAAAATGAAGAAATTACACAAACAGGTCGATGCAATGATAACGAAAATGATTGAGGAACATATTGCGACGAGTCATGAGCGTAAAGAACACCCTGATTTGCTTGACGTTATTTTGACTTACCGTGACAAGCCAGATGGTGAGAGACTTAGCATCGAAAACATTAAAGGACTCCTCCTGGTATATCTCTTAACAACTTCTTTAAACATTTACTTTTTAATGTAAATTTGACTACGTCCATGACTCAACTGACCCTGTTCATAAATTATGTTTAGAACTTATTTGTGGCCGGCACGGATACATCATCAAGCATCGTCGAATGGGCACTGACCGAGATGTTGAAAAACCCAACCATTTTCAAGAAGGCACAAGAGGAGATGGATCAAGTAATCGGAAGAGACCGAAGGCTCGAAGAATCTGACATCCCAAAACTCCCATACTTACAAGCCATATGCAAAGAAGTCTTAAGNAATAAAAAAAAAAGGGAAATTTTCTTAGTATAAACATAGATAATAACTCAAACTTTTTAAATAATTTTGAGTAGCCAAACAGTGACGTTTGAAATATAGGAAAGTGATGGGTGAATGATGAAGAATAACATTCAGTAAAATATAGTTAAGGTTTAATTTAGAAAAACATGAACATTCTTAAACACAAAATAAACTCACAAGATCCATGTATTTTTCTATCAAATTAGAATAAAAAACCTTCAAAAAATAAGCATGATTCAACTCTAAAATAAACTAAAATGAAATGAGCAATACACATACCTAAAACTAATAAAACAGAAAACAAAGCTAATTGTGGTACTTTGATTAGAGAAAGCTTCAACAATTTCAATCTTCAAAAGTTTTAAGAACGAATAACATAAAGAAAGTGAAAGAGAGAATGAGAGAGTAAAGAATTTTAGGGATAAAATCATAAAAAATAGGTGGACGTAGAAAAAAATGGAGAGAGTTTTAAACTTTTAATATGATGCAGGTCTGAAATATATATATTAATAACAAGTTTTTTATGAGCCTGAATATATATATATATATATATATATTTTTTTTTTTTTTAAATCAGGCCTGAATATATATATTAATAGAATTTTTTTATAAGCTTATATAAACAATTTTTTTTTTTTAAAATGTCAGGGTAGGCCCAGGCCTACCCTCCAAAGGTTGGGTCCGCCCCTGATTACAGGCATATATTTCTTTGTGACTTCCACGTAAATCGTCTTCTAGATCAATATGGAACTACAACTCTTATCTTAATTACGTTCTAATAATATCACTGACTAATAGTAAGACTCTTCAAAATAAAAAATTATTAAGGGGTTCAAATGTTTGAATGGATTAATTAGTTGGATGTTGCATTAGGTTCTATATTATTAAATTTACCAAACCAATCAAAAACATTCTAGTTATATAATATAGTAAAGGTTCTGCCTAACCACAATGAATATTCTCTCCACTATTGTAGATTAAGTGTAAGTGATGTTATAGAGTTGGCTTATTATTGACTTGGGGAGGGTCAATCTTCTAAACTTAGACCCAGTGTACGATGCGACATAAATCTGTCTGGCTACACCCTTCTTAATTCAGGACATACAAAAATCAGTCAACAGCATTTCACTTTCATTAAAGACTTACTATTGAACAATATTATGCATAGTATGAACTTCACCTAATCACCTTACCTTAAATAATCATAAAAGCAACCACATCTTACAAATCCTTACACAAAAGAGTCGAGAGAGATTAAGAATTAGACTCCATTTTGACACAAATTGGTGGGTTCTAATTCTTTAGTCGAAAACTCTTTGGTGTGTTTCTCTTTTCTTAAAACATCACATCCATATGCTAGTATAAAACAAAATGGCTCCAATCTGGTCCAATTAAGGCTTTGGGATCAGGCCGTATGTGGCCCATGGGCCAGAGTTAAGTTTTATTTCCTTGACAAGTGGTGTAATCTAACAGCCCAACGACGGAAAAATATATCTTAGCAATTAGTGAAGCTTTAATGGATTCTTCATGAAATAATAGTTTGATGGCTTCTATGAAATTAAAAATCAGTCCATGTAATTTAAAGAAATATTGATTTAGAAGGTTAGAAAGATGAATCCTGTTGATGTGTTTACAGAGTTTAAGGCTTATAAAGAAAATGGTCTCCGCATATTTATTCAATTATTGATCCGAAGAATGGGACATCTTCCAACTAGAGGAATGCCTTATATTCTCAATGATATTTTAGTAACACTTCTAGTCAAATCTCTACTCAAATTCAAGAGGGCCGAACGATTTCTACCTACCCAAGGTTTGGCGAAACAACAGAGTGGTACCCAAAAGGTTTCAAAATGACAAACAGGTACCTTTCGTTAGTGAAAAGACTAGAATGCCCTTTGAGTAATATTAGTCTATTTTTTTAATTACTTTTAGACCCCTTAAGTTTATTAATTCCATTAAATACCCCCAGAAAAAAGTTTAAAAATTAACAAAAACACCCTCACTCACCCATACTTGCCAAATTCCGGCGGCCACCACCGGTGGTAGTCGGAATCTATCACAATGGTCTACGCCACCACTGTAAATAGCTGGTAATTCACATATTTAGCCTTTTCCTGCCAGATTCACCATGGATCTGATCGGAAAAAACCAGATCTGACATGAAAAGGCCAAATTCGGCAGGAAACTAACAGCCAAAGAAATGGCCGTCGTTGACTGTCAACGACGGCCAAATCTTGGCCATCGTTGACAGACAATGACGACCACATCTTTGGCCATCGCTGACAGACAACGACGGCCACATCTTTGGTCGTCGCTGACTGCCAAAGATGGAGTGTTGCGGCCGTCGACGGCCAGATCGGTAAATTACCGGCCATTTCTAGTGGTGGCATAAACCGTTGTAATAGATTCTAGTTACCTCCGGCGGTGGCCGTCGGAATCTAACAAGTATGGGTGGGTGAGGGTGTTTTTATTAATTTTTAAACTTTTTTCTGGGGGTATTTGTGGAATTAATAAACTTAAGGGGTCTAAAAATAATTAAAAAATAGACTAATATTTCTCAAAGGGTATTCTAGTCTTTTCACTAACGGAAGGTACCTGTTTGTCGTTTTGAAACCTTTTGGGTACTAATATCGTTTTGCCAAACCTTGGGTAGGTGTAAGTCATTTCTCCAATTCAAGAGTGTTTGTAAGCTCTGAAATGTTTTGAAAACCAGACCGGGTCTTGACCCACTCAAGGGCCCAGTTTTCCAGGTTGACCGATCCAACCGGCTGGTCCAATGATGTCAATGATCCAAATAACTGAAGATTTAATAAAATATGTATAGAATAAAGTGTATGTCAAAATTCGTTTATGAATTTCACCAACCTTTTCTGGTTTTCTTCCATCAAAATTTGCAAAGTTGTTGTTTGTTTAGCGTATTTGGACATCTGGTTTACCAATTCTTCAAATACTTTTATACAACCTTTGCAAAAATCTGTCATGTGTTATCATCAATCATTATCTACGTAAGAAGTAGTTGATATCTAATTATATATATGATATTAATACCTCATACAGATGGTGATACAACAAGTCTGGAAAGATGAATTAGACTTGAGTTTGGCAGGCTTTGTTAAATGGACAAGTCAGTATTTTTGGATTGCCTTCAAATTGGAGGGTTACTTTTAAGCCCGGTAAGGAAGTTTATGAAATGCACCAGACCCATGGTGTAAAACAAATGGTTCCAATTAGACCTTGGGATCAGGCCAGATCAGCCCACTTTTGAACACGTTCTGCCCCATAGGCCCTTGATGATGGGCTTCCCACGTTATGTATTGGGTCAATCTCCACCCTTTTTCTCGGTAGCTCTAATGAGGGTTTGGGCTGAGAAACTGTTATGTTTAAGATTATAAGTTCATTCAATCTTGAATAATAGTAGAAATTTAAGTAATAATTACTACATGCAGTAAGGGATAAAAGAAATCAAAGTGTGTATTAGGAAGTTTGAAGATGGAAAAGTGTCGTTAAACTATTATTTGGGTGAAAAAAAATCGTTAACTCATAAAAAATAGAAGTTTCAATTGAATCATAAATATGTTCGTCTTTTACTTGAATTTGGATACCACATAAACTGAGGATAATGATTCGGGTTTGTTTGGTTTAATATTTTTCCCTATCCTATTAATACTATTTCAAAAATATACGTTTATTTCTCTATTCTGAAAATATTATTATATTTTATTTAACTATTTTAAACCCCATAAGTTTACTAATTTAACTAAACATCCCCCCAAAAAAGTTTAGAAATTGATAAAAACACCCCCACTCACTCATATTTGCCAGATTCCGACCACCACCGTCGGAAGGTGGCTGGAATTCGGTATAATGATGCACTACCAGCTAGATTCAGCCGATAGTGCGTCGATCTATCATTTACCGGCCAGATCTGCCATGAATCTAGCCAGAAAAAACCAGATCTATGGCCTATAGATCTAGCCTTTTTTGACCAGATCCACAATGGATCTGGTTGGAAAAGGCCATCTCGGAGCACGACCGACCAGATTCAGCCGGTCGTGCGCCGTAACGATAGATTATGACCAGATTTCAGCGGTGGTGGCCGAAATCTGGCAATTATGTGTGGGTATGGGTGTTTTTGTTATTTTATAAAATTTTTATATATTGGGGGTATTTAGTTAAATTAGCAAATCTAGGGGTTTTTTTTTGTTAATTTTTAAATTCTACCTTATAATAATCATCAAACTCTACCTACCAATAATATTTTAAAAATACTATTCAAAATAATAAAACAAATACGCTCGAAGCTTTTGGTCCACTTGAGTTTAATTTAATGTATAAATTGCCATGACGTGCGTAAATATGATAACATCATATAAGTTAGATGTTAGACAATTATATATATACATGATAATTAATCCATGCAGTGAGAAAAGAGATCATCAGTTAGTATGTAATTAATCTTTTCTCCATGTCGTTATGCTACGCCAGGGAGTAGGGGTCATTGAATAATCAAATATATAGCATGACTTTGAATAATCAAAGGCACTTGCTTGAGCGAATTTATAACCTTTTGTTGATTAGTTTAATTAATTGATTAATGCACTAATAATTAAGCTAATGGGTCATTTTCTCTATGGAAACTATTGATGTTCACATTTGTATTACAGACATATTTTGCTTCGTGACTTCCACGTAAATCATCTTCTAGATCAATTTGGCACTATAACTCTTATCCTAATTACGTACTGATAATATAATTGATTAATCATAAAACTCTTCAAAACAAGATTTTTTTTTTTTTTATTATTATTATTATCAGGCTGTCTGAGTCAGTTTACGCGCACCTTAACTAATTTCTCGGAGTCTTAGAACTGTCAACCAAGTAAGAGTCACAGTGATCACCCCTATTAGTGTCTATAGGGAGTCGAATTTAAAAGTTCATGAAACATTCTTTTGCTCTTTTATCATCAAGCACC